CACACTCTCTCTCTCTCTGTATATATCTATCTATCTATATATATATATATATATATGTATATATGCATGTGTGTGTGAGTGTGTATGTGTGTGAGTGTATGCGCGTGAGAGTGTGTTTATGTGTGTGTGTGTGTATCTGTGTGTCTGTGTGTGTAGAATAAATAGATAAATAAAAGATTTTGACTGAAACGAACCGCACTGACGGATGTATTTTAAAGTCGAAATTTCCCAACACGCCTGTGTTCTTTTTGCTTGATGCCAGTTCGAAAATTCCGGCTCTAAAATTTATCTGTCTGTCCTTCGTTTCAATAAAAAGATTTATATCTAATAAATATCAATTTTATCGACAACATTGGTACCATTTTAGTGGCTTTTTATCCTTCAAATTTCATTAACCGGCCAATTTATTCTACACATACGGAGCAAACGTGGACCACGTTTCATTACAATAATATATATATATATATATATATATATATATATATATATATATATAATATTTGATATTTAAGAATATAATAGTTCAAAAGTAAAGCTGATATTTTCATATAGTTCTCAATATTAAAAATATTAAAATAATGTTGAAAATAGAGCTTTGATAATATGGTAATGTTACTTTACTGTAAATATCAATTTTTGATGTTGTTTCGCAGACTTCCAAGATTCTTGGAATTATCCATTCTTCAAGGGTCTGTTCTTTGAATTTGAAACAGACTCTTTGAAGAATTTATAATTCAAGAAATTTCATTCAGTGAAACAACAGCAAAAAATTGATACAGGATTAAAATATTAAGTTAAATAAACTTTTTTATATATATATATATATATATATATATATATATATATATATATATATATATATTATATATATATATATATATATGTATATATATATATATATATGTTCATATATATATACATGTTCATATATATATATATGTTCATATATATATATATATGTGTGTGTGTGTGTGTGTGTGTGTGTGTGTTCATATCTATCTATATATTACTACTGATTCTTTTAATCTTGCTTTATTTTTCTCTTTTCCAATCTCTCTATATTGACTTATTTTCTATCTCTCACTCACTCACTCACTCACTCACACTATCTCTCTCTCTCTCTCTCTCTCTCTCTCTCTCTCTCTCTCTCTCTCTCTTTCTCTGTGTGTAGGTCCTGCGCTCTCGAAGATATTTTTAATTTACCCCTGCCTCCTTTGTACCTTCTCTCCCTGCATCCTCATCGAACGGAGCAAGACCCCGAATGACAGCCGTAACGTCTGTGACTCATTCTCAGTGGCACTATGCCGTTTTTGTGCGTGCTGGCTTTTGACGTTTCTCCATTACCTATTTTCTCCGATCTAAACCCAACTGTACCAGACCTCGCCCACTCGCTTACCACTATACTAGCATAACCCCCACCCCCTCCACATTCCACCATCACCGCCGTCGACTGGTTGCGCTGTGTCCGCCATTAAAGTGATACCATCGCTGACTTCGTTCGCAGTGATAACGACAACACATAAAAAGGAGTGGTAGAGAAACCATTTATCCACAAATAGACAGATTCCACAGGAGAAACCTCCACGGAATGTCATTTCTCATCACTACAGCCAATATTTTCCCGCCTTCCTCTTTTTTTATTTATTTATTTATTTCAATTTATCGGCTGTATTTTTTTCTCTCAATTTTTGCCCGTTTTTGAGTACCTTTCTTTATCTATACTTTCCGCTATATTTTATTTACTGTTTTGGGTCTCCTCCTTCACCATCCTCTCTCGCTATTTCTCTCTCTTTCTCTCTATCTCTCTCTCATTCTCTCTATGTTTTTCAATCTTTCTCTCTATTTTTCCATTCTCTTCTCATTTTTGCTTTATTTCTCTCAGTTTTTTCTTTCCGTCTCTTTCATTATTTCACTGTCTTCCTTTTTCTTTTTTTATCTCTCTTTCTTACTCTGTCAGTCTTTTCCTTTCTCTTTCTTTTGTTCTCTTTCTTTACCATTCTTTTTCTCTCTCTCTTTCGCTCTCTTTCTTTATCAGTCTCTTTTTCTCGCGCTCTCCTCTTTCTTCCTCTCACTTTCATTTTCGTTTTTGTTTTTTGTTCATCTGTCGTTTTCTTTCTCTTTTTTTATTACTCTTTTCTGTTTCTTTCTTACTCTCTTTCTATATGTCTCTCTCGTTCTTTCCTCTTTTCTCTCTTTTTATCTCACTTTCTTACATTCTCTGTTTCTTTTCGTTCGTTTTCTCTCTTTTTCTCTCCCCCTCTCTTTACTGTATCTTGTTTTTCTTTCTTCCATTACTTTATTATTTTTCTTTCTCACTTTCCTCTTTATTTCTTACTCTATTTCACTTTGTCTCTCCATTTTTCCTTTCTCTTTTTCACTCTCTTTCCTTCTCACTCTCTTTCATTTATTATTTTTCTCTCTTCCTCTCCTACCCACATTTAAATATAGTCCTGTTCCGTTTAGATAATCTTTTTTGTATATTTTTTTATTTACTAATAATTCGCAGACCACAGTAGAAGACTGAATAATGGAAGTTACTGAGTAGGAAGATCGTGTTGCGTCGGTCATATTCGAAAACCATTTTTAAAAATCTTGTCTGTTACGAAGGCTTGGATACTGACCTCTGTCCCTCTGTGAAAGTACGTAGTGTTAGTTTAGTTTAACATAATAACAAGTGGCAGGAATGATGGAGTAGTAAATCGTGTTACGACAATCTGTCTTGAAAATCGGCTTTCGAAACACGAGATTTCACGAGGTTTCGAAATACGAGATTTCACGAGGTTTCAAATATTAACCGCTGCTTCTGTGTAATGTTTCCCAATTTTTAGCACAAAGCCAAATGTTCAAAAGGAAGATCATGTTACGCCAGCATTCTAAAATGAACTGGCTTAATCGATTTTTCTTTCATTCTCTATTCTCATATTTCCTTCACTCTCTCCTCTCTCTCTTTCTTTCTTTCTTTCGTTCTTTCTTTCACCCCCTCTCTCTCTTTCTCTCTCGTTCTTTCTTTCACTCTCCCTCTATTTCTTTCTCCCGTTCTTTCTTTCACTTCCCTTTCTCTTTCTTTCTTTCGTTCTTTCTTTCACCTCACCTCTTTCTTTCTCCCGTTCTTTCTTTCTCTCGTTCTTTCTTTCACTCCCCACTCCCTTACTTTCTCTCGTTCTTTCTTTCACTCTCCCTCTCGCTCTTTCTTTCCCTCCCCTTCTCTTTCTTTGTCTCGTTCCCATCTCTCTCTCTCTCTTTCATTCGGTCAGCTTTATTCATTCAGAGAGTGATTCGGATTGTTCAATGGATTCTTTATTCAACTCATTTTTCCATCAGTTCGTAACTAACACTCAGCATGTTACGCACGTTTTATTCTCTTTATATACCATTGGTGGAATGTAAGATCCGTTCAAACAGATTCTTGCCGCGAACCGCCAATTCGAAGAACCGACTCCCAAGAGGATGCTTCCCCGATTTCTACGATCTAAACCTTCGCATGTCTAGGATTAACGGCTAGCTTCTGAGCATATCCTCATAAATTGTGCCCCTGTCTCTGTAACCCACTAAACCCTTGTGCAAATTAATTGAAAAAAAACCCACTTTAGTTTCCTTTCTTTCACCATACGGTCAGTCTTAGACCCGCTGGAATGTCAGTTTGTAATCAATTTCTATTTTTTCCTTAGATCAGATCATTTGCAGTAATATGAATCTATTTTTGGGGTATATGATGACATTTGTTTGGCCTTGAAAATATTGCGTCATCCATAATTGCATCAGATTTTTATCACGTCCAGACACTACTGTCTTGACTGTCGATTAGTTGTCCTACGGCCATTGCCTACAAAGAAGCCTACGAACATTGTAACGCTTCACAAACTCACTGGAAAGCCTTAGCAGTGAGCAAATCAAAGTACTATAGACTGGCTCGGAAACACTGATTTAAATCCAATCGAGAATCTGTGGTCAATCTGCAAGGAACAACTTTGAGGAATAGACATACGAAGTACTAACCTGTACACTGGGTCATGTTTCATTGGAAAATGCAATAAAAAAGTAAATAATAACGGAATTATTCGTTTTGTTTCAATTAATTTGCACAAGGGTGTACATCGAGTATGGGATATTTAGTTATGATAGTTAGACCATGGCCTTTTATACGGTGAATATTTTTGTAAAAGAATTTTTTAAAAATCTTTTGGCAGACACATCCGAAAAGTTTTCTTTTGCACAAGAATTTATTCTATATTAATCAGATATATTGAACACTATAAAGTGAAAATTTTAGATAGAAAATGATTGATAATATAGTTAATAATAATACATAATGCCCACAAAGTCTTTAGACAATTTAAAAAGAGTCATTATCAAAAGGTGACAACTAAATTTGTGTTGCTTATTAATGTTATTATTAAAGTTCTTTTGATGTTACTAATAGTTTTATTAATATTATGTGTTTATGTTTCACACCGCACTTAATGTTGTTTCAATATTTCAAATGGCACAGAGATAGACATTTATTAACTACTAGTCAAATTACCCGCGCTTTGCTGCCTGTCACCTGTTTATGGTAAAAAAATGATGATTGGTTTTATATGATTGTTATAATTTATAGAGAAAAATGATTTATTTCAATATTACTCAATGATCATGCTGATGTGACCTCCATCTTCTGGTTTTCTCCTTTTATATTTTGGATAGGAGTCATTCCATTGTTCAAATTTAAATTTAATTTAAATCAAAGGGAAAAAAAATTCTGTGGGAGGTTCTAGCAAAAACAGCTTGATGTGACACCGTTGATTTGTATTTGATGCAATACTTGATTGAATGAATTGTTAAGCAGTTGTCAACATTGATATGACAGGTCAACTGTCGCAACAAATATGTATTGCAAGGCACTACCCACTGGTTGGTGATTTCTTGCTCAACTTAACGTACATGTTGTCTCATTTTGATCCTTCTGGTGTGACCTCCATCTTCTGGATTTCTTCTTCTATATTTTGGATAGTAGCCATTCCCTTATTCAAATTTAAATCTAATTTGAATAGAAGGGAAGAAAATTAAGCGGGAGGTTTGTACCTCCGGTGATCCTTTGATCAAAATGAAATATACGTAATCAAGTTCCCTGGGTAATATAGTTTCAGAATATATATGGTTATTAGGGTCTATCTCCAAAACCCTAGGAGTTCGATAAAAAATCAGACAGACAGAGGTTACAACTTAATATATATAGATTTGAATGTCCTGCTTCCGTTGTAGTGTTAACACATTTTTCTAATGATTTTTGGACAGCTTGTACATGAAAAAAAAATGAACTGATGCTTGAATCCGTGAAACGTGATAAAAGCCAACAGACTAAACGCGGTATTTTAAAAAGAAATTGAACAGATGAATAATGGCTTGTGGTGATAGACGAAAGAACTCAGATATAGTAAGTTTTATTTACGAATACCAAATGTACATAAAAAAAGAATAAAGAAAAATTATAACAAATATTGAAAAATAAATTTAAAAAATAATCAATACGGAACTTTTGCCGGGTTTTAGGCACTTGTACTTGCACACACACACACACAAACACACACACACAAACACATACACACACACACACACACATATATATATATATATATATATATATATATGTGTGTGTGTGTGTGTGTGTCTGATTAAATGAGTTACAAACATTATGTTTGCTTATTTTTAGGATAATCCATTCATATTCACGGATATTTTTTTGCGTATTACAATCAAGAAATGCACTGTAAGAGAGAAAATCACTTTTATTTCCCAAGTAATTTCCATCTCTTTCTGAGATCATCATCAGGAGTGCAAACTAGTAAAGCAAAAACTATGTGTAGCTATCCATTACTGATTTTTTTTCTTTTTACGTTTAAATGCAACAGCTGGCAGTGGATTTCTTGCATCATTTGATTGTAATTTACAGCGACATATAAAGGGAAGCGTTGATTGGTACAAGGACAAGTGAATATGTGTGGTTTGAAGAACAAACTAACCAAATTTCAAAAGTTTCCTGCTTTATTCTTACTGTATACGGCCTGCGCTGCTTTGAGAATAAGACCGTTTTTTCCTTTAATCAAATGAGTACGCTTCCACAACTTTAGTCGTGGCTGCTTATTTAAGTGTCTACCTTTTTCAGATTCGCCATTTTCATTATTGTCGTTCCAACAAATCCTTTTGAAGAAGTTCCCTCTAAAAGAATAGGTATATATACATTGCAGTCAGCAGGTACTGCCCTATCAATAAGGAGGCACTTTTTTGTGTGAGATCTCTAATAACAATGTCTGAGCGGTTAGCTTTGATTTTTCTGTCTCTGTGTATTGTTTAGTATTATTACGATGAATGCTCTGTCACTTGATATTGAGCACTTTACTAGCAGAAAACTTCTCGCCGAATAGGCGTTATCTTCACGAGATATTTTCCTCAGCCTTTACTTTTGCTTTTGTGATATGTCAATTCGTCTATATTCAGCCATCTCGTCTTCACGCGTCACGTACATTTTTTAACGTACCACCTCATCATATCTCAGTTCAATCTGTTGTCTCTTTATTTTTAATCAAATATATTTGAAATAATATTTAATATACATATAAATATATATATATATAAAACTCAATTTAAAATATTTATATATATATATATATATATATATATATATATATATATATAATGAAAAAAACAGACCACCTTAAGGTACCATTACAATAATTTATTTCACCAAAATCCTTTTTAAAGGTCTCCGGATCATCAGGTAACACTTCCAGCAACGAAATGAAAGGAAAAATGGGATTAGAAATTGATGGGTAGTGTAATTTTTGTAATTTAATTTAATTTTTAATTTAATTTAATTTTAATTTTTTTTAATTTAATTTAATTTCAGACTCCTTGGAATTACGCATTCAGTTTACCAAGTTCTTCGTAACTTATATATATATATATATATATATATATATATATATATATATATATATATATATATATATATATATATTTTAAATTTGAATATATTTAAAAGAACGATGGAGTTGATATAGCAAAAAATCATTTTTATAATGTCTTATGAAATCCGAATATACTTATGAACAATGTTTACTTAAACTTTCACTGAAAACCAGGAAAACAATCCAGAAAAAATGAATAATCAAATTCTTGGTCTCGAAAAGGACCTCCAATCTGTGGTTGACTGAGACAGCTTGTAAACTTTAACGCTTCAAAAACAAAACTGCTCTCATTTACACATTACAGTGAACCCTCCTTGCCTCCGATTAGAATGTCTGATGCTCATCACCACAATAGCGCCACTCTGCGCCTGCTTGGTCTCACACTGTCCGCTGACCTAAAATAAAACAAACACATTGAATCAATAGCTTCATCTACCGCCAGAAAGTTGGGTTTTTTTTTCGCCTGAGTCCATCCTTCAAATCTATAAATCAACTATTCGCCCATGCAAAGGATACTGCTGCCATATATGGTCTGGAGTCCCCGCTGTTCGTCTCAAGGTCATCGACAAAAAGCAGAGACGGATATGCAGTTTGATTTATCCTGGTCTGGCATCTCATCTACAGTCACTTTCTCACAGACTTGCCGCCGCTTCACTCTCTCTTTTCTCCAAGTATTTTCACGGTAACTGCTCCGACGAGCTATTTTCGCTGGTTCCCAAACTGAATTTAAACGTGCTACTAAGTTGGCATCTCAGTCCCATCCTTTCATTGTCGAAATGTAGCCGTCTCTTCTACTCCAATAGCTTCATGTTTCGCACTTCCCGTCTGTGGAACTCCCTTCCTCTTACTTGTTTCCCTGACAGTTATAGTCTTCAAATATTCATATGTAACGTCAATCGACATCTTCTGATGCCTTGATCTGATTCACCGTCCATCTCTTTATCCTTTCCTCTATCACGCCTCTTTACTCTTGCTCCCAATCTCTGTAACCCTTGCGTTCTAGTGACACTCCAGCCTTGCTTGGGGTGAAATACTTAAAAAAGTTCAGGTAGACTTTAACTAAATTCGTATCACGCATGCGCGCGCACACGCACATATCACGCCGATTAATATACCATTTACCAAGGATACAACAACAAAAACAATGAAAACTTCAGTAAATTAATGTTTTCTATAAATTCGCCTGCTCTCTTGGAGAATACCTTCTAATGATAATTCATTCAAACAATACATATATTGGTTATACAACAACTACATTATAGCGTGGATTAACATGGCATTTACTAATCTTACGAGAAAATTGAAGTCTTCAACAAATGAATGTCTTCTATGAATTTACTTGCCCAACTGAAGAATGTAATCAAAATAAATCAGAAAACACATACATGGGTCAAACAACCCTTAGATTATCGAGCTTATATAAGTGGCTTTTATCAAAGCTGTGTTTGTGTGTTGTCGGGGGCATATCAGGTAAATAAATACAGCTATCAATATGAGGCACATATTAGTGGATAATAACAAAATACTAAACCGCACTTACTGCAATGTAAGACAAAAAATTGTAGGAGATTTTATTATAGCCAAGAAGCAACCGACATTAAAATAAACAACTTTACTATATTGAAATGCGTATAAATTATTATTTGTTTAAGAAACCCTACCCGTAATATCACATGTTGCATAAATATTATTTCGGCCAGACAACACTAGGGACACTTCAGAATATATCATGAAATTATTTCTTCAAGTAAAGAAGATGCTGCGTTCAAATTTACGATTTTCGTGAAAATAAAATAAACTACCAACATAATAGAACTGTTAGTAATTCACTTCTAATTGTTGGTCCAGCCACCGTTAGTTTTCAAGTTCACTCGCTAATCTTCTTACCACTATGTCATTTATACCACCAGACTATGAACTAAATTGGAAACGTCTGATTTCAATTTGCCTGAGTGGAGATGACTCCGACTGAGATAAATAGAGTCGATATATCCTTTAATACAGTCACGTTTCATTCTGATCTTGCTAACGAAGTCACGTCTACTTGACTTCTCTTAGGAACAGGGCGATGTCAACAGAATAAAAATAATAGACTGACGCAATAAAAAAAAGAGACAGGCAGCAGAAAGTCGTTACCTTATATATATATATATATATATATATATATATATATATATATATATATATATATATATATATATATATATATATATATATATATAAAAATATATATATATATATAAAATATATATATATATATATATATATATATATATAAAGATATATATATATATATATATATATATATATATATATATATATATATATATATATATATATATATATATATATATATATATATGCGTGTATATTGATATAATAGGAAAGAACTGTTAGAGTGATGATCCGAAGCTCTTTGGTATTTTTGTTTTATTTTTTAAAAATAGTGCTCGATACACAAGTAGAGCCTAGATTATATTTTTTTTTAAATATAATTCGATCGTGACATAGAAATTATTGTGTTTTGAAACTGGTCAGCAGTATTTAAGTTTAATTCCGATATTAAACCTCAACCACTGGGTGGAAGTTACATCAACAAGCCATGTTTTGGATTAACTTGGAATAACTTTTGTACATATATATATATATATATATATATATATATATATATATATATATATATATATATATATTCCAACTAAGTGGACTAACTTTGGAATATATATATATATGTTCCAAATTTATTCCAAAACAAGGATTGAGAATGAAACTGCCACCGAGTGGTTAAGGTTTAATATCAGGATTAAAATTAAATACCGCTGACCAGTTTCGAAATAGTAATTCCTGTGTCGCAATGGAATCATTTTTTTACAAAAATAATTATAATATATATATATATATATATATATATATATATATATATATACACGACCAAGTTGACACATTCGCACACCTCTATTTGTAGCTTAGCTCTATGACCTATAGCTTGCAGAAGTTTTTACCTCCCGACAGAGACATACAGATGTACATTTTTTACTCATTTCACCTGAAGCAAGATGGGAATGCCACCAGTACGCGGGGAGTTACAGAAAGAGAAAGTGAAAGAGAAGACTGGTTATAAGGTGAACTGAGGAAAGGGCAAAAGATGAAGCCGGTTCAAGAAGACAGAAGATGGCGATTGACGTTGCACCTAATCTTTCTTTTTAAGATTATCGTGATCAGGGAAGCAAAGAAACGGAAGGGATTTCCACAAATGGGATGTGCGAGAAAAGAAACTGTTGAAGTCGAAGTGAGAGCTGCATTTAGCTACTTCAACAGTAAAAGGGTGGGACCTAATTGCCAATCTAGTAGCACGCTTAAATTCATGTAGTCGGGACACCAGGGAAAAAAAACTCGTAAGTGTAGTTGCCATAAAAATATTTGTGGAAAAACAGCAGTTGTTCTCAGGTCCACCCTGAACAGGAGTGGTAGCACATCTCAGGGTCCCAGCTATGGGTAAATAGTTAATCCTAGAAATAGGTTTAAAAACACTATGAAAACATAAAAATAGATTTTTATTTTAAAAATACCAGCAATAGATTTTTGAAAAAAAAATATTACCATCACTACATTTGATTCTCGACAAAAATCCTCTTTACAAAAATGCGTCAATGAAACCTGATCTCCAAACTGATTTCTTACCAAAATTACATATTCTATTCATGCAAACCTATCTTAAAAAATTTGCCGGCATTAAATAACCCATTGAGGTGTTGATATGCTTTTAAACAATATAAACCAACGAAAACAAACCAAACTTCAAGGCAAGAGAAACCAGTTTACTTTGGGATTTAACCTGTAGCTTTTGAAAGACAGAAATGTGACTTTTTCAAAGGCCATTAGCGCGAAGAATTGATCGGAATTCGAACCCGGTTCGACGATTTCAATTTACGCGCAGATAATGAAATAGCCAGCTTTATAAAAAAAAAGGTCTGTCCGACTCATTCAAATATAAATTAACCGTAGACAAACTGCAACTTAAAAGAGTTATACGATCGGCTCGATTAGCTGATTAAACAATACGATTGAAATACCTCCATCAGTTTCCTCTCTCTCTCTCTCTCTCTCTCTCTCTCTCTCTCTAAGAGTGTATCTACCAGTTCTGACTTTCTTAGCTAAGACCACCTTTCTAATTACGTTGGAATGATTCATTCCCTTCCTATTCTTTTAAAAGCTTCTTCTAAAGGACCACTACTTTGTGGAAAAGACTCCCAAGGGGATGGTTTCCTGGTCACTAGCATATTGACTTCTTCCAGCGTAGGATAAACTGTTAGCGCTTCAACAAAATCTCATAAATTACACTTCATACATACCTCGCTTACGCTCATACAACATCATTCAATAACCCTCTACCTTGAGTGGCTCTTATTTTTTAAGCTGATGAATATATAAAGGGTGCACCATTTTATATTTTTGATTTTGTGCATGCGCGTTTTTTTTTTTTTTTTTTTTTTTTTTTTTTCGTCCCTTAGGACTTCATCGAATTAGGTTTGTTTATGTTGATGTCACTACACATGCGCACGAACAAGTCCTGGGGATTTTAAATTTAGAAAAAAATTGTTTATGTATTTTGGGAATATAATCTCGTTCATTTTATTTAGATTATTTTTCTTTTCATTTTTGTTATTTAATATTCCACATTGCGATAACAGAAGGTCTGCCAAGAATGGGGAAACGTTGTAAAACCTAGACGCAAATTTGCTGTGGATGAACTAGTGATTAAAGCACTTTTTAAGCATTTTCGTCTCAGTGAATTATTTTCTCTTTTAATTAATGTAGCATTTTTATATCAAAATTGTGGTCAATCTTGAACGGTGAGCAACTAATGCGTTTAATGTCTTGTTTTTTAAAATGTCTCTTTTGTGTTTATATAATATTTTTTTAAACTTCTGTAGGTTTCTCCAATATATTCTTTCTGGCAATCTTAGCAGGTAATAGTGTATATTCCTCCTTCAGGTTGTAGCTCGTCTTTTTTTTTTTTAAATGAATAAGTCTTTTATTGTTTTAGAAATGTTTTTGCCAAATTTTATGTTGAGTCTAGATAAATTCCTTTTGATTGTAGATGTGTTAGAGTTAAAAGAGAAAATAATTCACTGAGACAAAAATTCTTTGAAGAAATGTAGAGGCTGATCTTGTCCTCGTTTCTGCATTTGGTGCGTTGCATTTAATTTTGCTTTCTTCTTTGGGCTCTTTGCCGTGGCAGTTGGTGCATTATGGTTATTTGCACTTCTTCACCCACTTAAAATTCCATTTTGAATTAGTTGGCTTCCTTTATTACAGAATAAAGTTTCTTATTTCTTTCATGTTCTTTGACGCAGATCCTCATCCAGTCTTCTGTAATATCCAGGTATCTTTGAAGACCGATTGTTATGGTTCAGTAAGACAGTTTTAATTGAACTAATCCTCCGTCTCCATCGAATCTGGACATTACAGACGATCAACATCAAACTTAGGATGATGCATGCAGTGACAAGTGAGAAGCTTTCTCCTTTTGACATCTATTCGCTTCATGGCAGCTAATAAAGATGTTAAAACTATTGCACCACAGGAACAGCTAAGGTGTTTATGTCTGATATTCTGTTTTCTAAATTCAAATCGGTATTCAAAACCAGACTCACCTACCTGTCATGTTCTTTTCTTACTTTATCCTTCATTTGAGTATGTTGTATTCCATCTCTCGCTAATTCCTAGGTATTTATAGGCTTCTTGTTCCAATTTCTGAATCTTTGTGACAACATCTAGATCTATTGAGTGTGTTTTCTTGAATGTTACTTCTGCATATTTATGTCTTCTGAAATCCATACCGATGTCATCACTGAAACATTTTACAGTATTAAGGATACTCTCCAACTCATCCTTTTTGGCAAAGAGTTTGAGATCATCCATGCAGAATAGGGGATTAAACACTTTCTTTTTTTTACTTTGTATCTACAGTTATTACTGTTTAGTTCATGCGAAAGAGGAATTAATCTCAGACAGAAGAGGTGACAAAGAGACTCCTTAAAAAATTCCTCGTCGGATACTCAAACAATTGGAAGTGGCAGTACCTTTGGTATGATTTAGGTATTATGTGATTTTCTACAGTTCTATGCTATATTTAAGGAAATTTATTATCGCCGAGGAGACTTTGTACATTTCCAAAGCCTTAAGAATCCAAATGTATGGCACACTATCAAAGGCTTTATGGTAATCTATCCAAGCTGCGCTGAGATTTTTTTCTTGCAATTTTCCAGGGGCATTTTATCTATTTGTAATTGATCATTTCAATCATATGAACCTCTTCGATATCCCGTCTGTTTCAGGGGAAGAATATTGTTTCCATCCAGAAAAAAAGTAGGTACTGTTTGTCAGGACAGACGTGATCAATTTATATGTGGTGGACAGACATGTTATGGGGCCATAATTTTTGGCATCATCTGTTTCACCCATTATTGGTAGGAGATATGGAATACCTTCAGTGATCCATTCTGGAATTTCATTGGGGATATTAATTAGCTTTGATAAAGTTTGCGCAAAATTTTATGGCGTGTTCATAGATGATAAAGTCAAAAGTCATTTTTCTGGGGATTTCCAATTTGGGGATTGTATTAGATCTTGCCTAACATTATTCTTGGCTGTCCTGGGTATGACGTTAAACTGCATCCACGTCCTGGGTATGACGTTAAACTGCATCCAACAGCAAGGCTTCTGATCAGGAGGTTTTGAGGAGCGTGGAACCACCTCTTAATTGCTGGTGTTACCAGGTCCACCTTGACCCGGGGTGGTAGCACCTTTTAGGGTCCTAGCTATGGGCAAATAGTGAACTCCTAGTTTTTCCAGATCTTACCCACGTCCTGGGTATGACGGTAAACTACAACCGCGTCCTGGATATGGCGATAAACTACATCCACGTCCTGGGTACGGCGATAAACTACATCCAACAGCAAGGCCTCAGATAATGTTTTCGGAAAAATAATGTTGCCCGCTATACGTTTTAGAAACAATAATGTTGCCAGCTATACGTTTTTGAAACAATAATGTTGACAACTATGCGTTTTTGAAACAATAATGTTGCCAGCTATACTTTTTTTTTTTGAAACCATAATGTTGCCAGTTATACGTTTTTGAAACCATAATGTTGCCAGCTATCCGTTTTTGAAACAATAATGTTGCCAGCTATAAGTTTTTTTGTAAAGAATAATGTTGCCCGCTATACGTTTTTGAAACAATAATGTTGCCAGCTATAAGTTTTTGAAACCATAATGTTGCCAGCTATACGTTTTTGACTTTTAAAGTCACTCAAAATCATTTTCGGCATAAAGTGACTACTAAGGTTTAGATGCCGTTAAACAAAACAATCAACAATCAAATGGAAATTCTTGACTTAAACAAAAACTACCTATGATTATTTTGCAGTGTGCAAGCAAATAAGCTCTAGCTTGCTAAAAATGTACCATACAAAATAGGCATTTAAAATTCATATATTTGGCATATATATATATAAACTGGATTTGGCATTAAATAACACACAGTGGTTGATATGCCATAAAACTCAAACAAACAAACAAAAAATTATTCTTGGTTATATTTTTCCATTCTTGCAAAGGTTTATATCTTCATTCTTTCTTGTTTTCGTTTGATCCACTCTGAATGGGGATTATATTCCTTTGAGTTGTTGCAAATATTCTCCCCAAAACGTTTGCACTTCTTTAATAGATGGTGGCATTTTGACATCTATAAGTGCTTTTCAAATTTCTCTGTAAAACTTTTTGAAATCCGTTTGGAATATCTCATTTTGTCGAGAGAACCTACAACACTTTTCATATCGTCTTGTTCTCTGTGTCTTTAATTAGAATTTCTGTCTAAGGATTTCCTTAATTGATCGAATATCATTTACTGTTTTAATTTTATATTTCCGCTCGATCTTCTTGTTTTCCGGGTTGAAACATTTGAATTTCTTGAAATCTCGTCTAGTATCGCTAACTCACATCTAATTTCCTCAATTTCTTGCTTTAATTTTACCTTCCAACTGGGCTCTTTTTGTTGTTTAATATTTTATCTGTCTTGACATTAAGTTTTTAAGTAGCTGCTAAAGCTGTTGTATATATGACATCATTTACTTTTATGATGTTTTGCAGTGGTCTGTCTGTTAACAATGTTTCAATAAAGCGTTATATGTTTTCACAATATGTTTATTGGACTTTGTTATATGAATTTTAAGAAGCCTGTCTCTTTCTGGCATTTACGTGCGAGTTACTTTGCTGATTATTTGAATGATGTCGTTTTTCGCTTCAGAGATTTCAACTCTGTCATAATGTCATTTGATTCATCTTCACCAGTGACAGAATTTGAATCAGCGCACTTGTTTATGTCGCAGATAGATTCTTCTGTTTCATTTCCTCAGAGATCATTATTTCGTTATCTCATTTGTTTTAGTTTGTATTTCATCCACTTTCATATATCTATTTCCACTCTTGCCTCACGTTTGCTTTGTTTGATCTTAATTTATCTTATATTTAATTTTATCAAATTGCTTTCTATATTTGAGAGTGTTTTATTTCGCATGTTGTCCCCGCGGATATTGGCAAGTATATTTGGGTCGAGATAGGGTCTTATTTTAGTTTCTACCATATCTTTCCATATTTGGTATGTTTGTTCTGTGATATTTTTATTTTTTATTTTCGATTGCAGTGAAAAAAAGATGCCGTGACTCTTCACGATTCCATTTCGTTCGCTTTCTTTTTATTAATTGATTTCGCATTAAGTTATCAGATACAATGTTGAAGTTAATCCTGTTTTGGTGACAAGGTGTCTCATTGTTGGTGGAAGAGACTGCTCCAGTGACAGATTTTTCGGCACCAGACTGGTTCCTCTCTAAGGAACGCGGCCCTTATTGACCCTTTTGACGTCCGATCTGGTATGAGTTTTTATTGTTAAACATTGTTTTTTGGGGGTTTTTTTTGTTTTGTTTTTGTTTTTTGTTTTTTTTTTTGTCTTTCTACCTTTCGCAGCTATGGGATAATTTTGTTTAAGATACCTCCTTCTGGACAACAGTCGACTAAAACTAAAGATCTCGTTTTCACACACACACACACACACACACATATATATATATATATATATATATATATATATATATATATATATATATATATATATATATATATATTCTTCATATAACCCCAAATGTCATTAAGGATAATATTCGGGTTTAATTTTATAAAACTTCTCCCCTTTAAGAGAAATAGCTTTCATCCTTAACTGAACCCTGACTCGTGCCTTTCGTCTGACTGAAACATTGAAATGGATAAATTCTGTATTCGTTTTTCGACTGTTTTTATTTTATTTATTTATTTTAGCTTTCACAGTTAAACCTCTCTTTCTGACACGAACTCAGTCTACACTGAGGTTGATAAGTCAGATGACCGATATCTTCGTCTGCCGAAATTAGCTATTCCACATATGACGAGTTTTTTTAATAAATACATTGAGCTCTTTATAGGGATCGTTTTAATATTTTATATTACTAGAATCAACTTGGATCATATACCAACGGATACTGTATATATTTACTCTGTATATATATATATATATATATATATGTGTGTGTGTGTGTGTGTGTGTGTGTGTGTGTGTGAGTGTGTATGTATATATATATATATATATATATATATATATATAAGAAAATATAGTCTTAAGGTGTGCTATATTTATGGAATAAAGTGCTCAATATCAGAGATAGAGCGTGTCTAAATATAAAAGTGAACATAGAAGTCAACACTTAGAGGCGACAGTCTGTTTCATGCTATATGCAATCGTCAGGCCACATATAGCATGAAACAGACTATCGCTATGTTCTAATGTTTTATATATATATATTTATATATATATATATATATATATATATATATATATATGCAATTTATTATATATATTATTTATATATTATATATGCGCGGTACTTATTGGAAAGCGCTCAATATCAGTGATAGAGCTAACATATTTAGTTGGATTGATGTGAGTTTGTGTTTCACGCTGTTTGTGTTCGGCAGACAAACAGCGTGAAACTCAGGGTCACAAACTCACGTCAATCCAACATATATATATATATAATCACATCAATCCAACTAAATACATATATGTGTGTGTGTGTGTATGTGTGTGTGTGTAATATGTAGTTATTACTGAATAATGTTTGATCAAGGATAAGCAATATTTCAGTTAAGCAAGTGTGTATAGACGTGACAAGAGATCTTATTGAAATATATGTATTTATTATATAAAATAATTTATCTATCATTAGGCTACACACTTATTGATTTACTTTCTTATATGAGGGGATGCACAAAAAGATCTCTATCTATCCACTTCCTAAAATTTAACCAAATGACAACTTATCAGAATTCTGTAGGGAAGGACATCTTGGTTAGGCTGGTAACTTTTCAGAACACTGTCGTATATCAGTCATATTATACAATCATGTTTACGGTGTTAGTATCATATTGACTAGAAATTATGTTTTTAACAATTTCTAAAACTAGCAAAGTTACTCAATAAGTCAAAATATAGGGTAATGCAGAAAGACCTCCCACATTTACTTCTCAGAAATATTTCCCATATAACGGTAAGACATTAGTGGCAAGGGTGTCTTCGTCTACATAATGTCTTACCATTATGTGGAAGCAATTTCTGCTTCACTCTGTATCTTTGGCTTCCGCGTTTTGCAAAATGTTCATTTTTAACTGATTATTTTTCGGTTAAATATAACGTTAACACTAAAGTATTCGTTTAGCATTTTAAGAGGAATATTTTAATCTCTCCTCTAAATAATTAACGAAAAGCGATTTACTAAAAACCTGTACAGCCTTACTTGTATTTATTTATTAAAGAAACAATCCCTCTAACCGCTGAAGATGTATTGTTAGACAATCATACTGTCAGACTCGATTGTAAATTATAAATTGGAAAGAACTTTGCCGCGAGTAAGAGTCTTGAAGGTTTTTACCATGACAGGTGGGATAATTTCTCACCCATCAGTCCCCATTTAATAATTTGTTTGAGTGCTTCATCTGTCTGACTCTCTATTCGACCGTCTGCCAATGCATCGGCCTGCCAGGCTGCCAGTCAAACTGACCATTGACCTAATCCAATGCTGAATCGCATGACGCATGCGCGACGCTTGCGTATAAAAACGCATGCGCATTGTATGTATTTGTGTCGTCCTTGTTTCTAAATAAATTAAATATATGCAGATGCCATTAAATCGAATCAGTAACAACGTCTCTGATTTTCTTCATCTGTGATATTGAATGAACATAAAATATAGAAAGGAAACCTTTTGTTGCAATCACGGATTATGCTATCAAGCAGTCACTGTCATCAAAATCAGTCATTCTTGAAGATATTATTTAAAAAGGATAAACATTTAAGTTTGAAGCAGTGACATTTAATTTAAATTACTTGGTAATTTAAAAATTATTTATAACGAATTGAATAGTTAAAGTTAATTTATTACAGAGAATCTAAATTATAAACAAATTATAATGAATCAAATGTATAAAGAAACTGAATGAAATTGGCTTGACTAGATTGGCATCTAGGTCCCACCCATTTACTGTTGAAATAGTTGTTATGAATCATCAAGAGTTTTCTCCCTTTGTTTTGTTACACTGCTCTTTGAAAGAGTTATTTCTGTTTACTGGGACTATAAAAGGACACTATACACAATATATTCTCAGTTGATAAAGCTTTCTTAAAGCCTACACCTGCTTACTTCTGTCATGACAGTAGTTAAATGTAACCGCCACTTCTACTCCAATAGTTTCTTTTCTCGTACTTCCTGCCTGTGGATCTCACTTCCGTTTCCCTACTTCCCTGATAATTGGAATCTTCAAAAATTTAAATGCAGCATCTAAGTTCTTGAATCCTGTTCATTTTTTAATTTTTTTTCTCAGTCCCTACTATACACAGTCTTTTCTCTCATTTTCACTTTTTATAGCCCACTGCCAGTGGCATTTCTGCTTTGTTTGGGGGTGGAAGGATTAATAAAAAAAAATATATAAAAATTACATATTCAGGCAGATCTAAAAAAAATAAATTTAAATTTTTAGTGTTTCCAACATTCCCAGCATATAATGCCTGTGAATAATTATTACCAAATTTTACGTTCTGATATTCCCCTTCCCTTCCTAAACATATATAATTCCATCAAGAAAAATATTAATTTATTCCGATGGACACTAAAGTACGTAACGTGTTACGCAAAATTATTTTTACACTTTTTCGTTCATTTACTTAATTTAATTAAGTTTCTCAAATCCATTAACTGTTATTGCTCTTTCCAATTTGGACGAGGGGCATTGTTCCTAACTTTTTGTTTGAAGCAGTGTGGAAGTGTCAACACCTTGATTATTTCTTTCTGTTTCAATCAGTTCATATCTATCTATCTATCTATCTATCTATCTATTGCCGTCTGTTCTATCTATCTCTCTATCTGTCTGTCTCTCTTTATCTATCTATCTATCTATCTATCTATCTATCTATCTATCTATCTATCTATCTATTGCCGTCTGTTCTATCTATCTCTCTATCTGTCTGTCTCTCTTTATCTATCTATCTATCTATCTATCTATCTATCTATTGCCGTCTGTTCTATCTATCTCTCTATCTGTCTGTCTCTCTTTATCTATCTATCTATCTATCTATCTATCTATCTATTGCCGTCTGTTCTATCTATCTCTCTATCTGTCTGTCTCTCTTTAAAGTCTGTTCTATCTATCTCTCTATCTGTCTGTCTCTCTTTATCTATCTATCTATCTATCTATCTATCTATCTATCTATCTATCTATCTAATTGCCGTCCGTTTCTATCTATCTCTCTTTATGACGTCTGTTCTATCTATCTCTGTCTGTCTCTCTTTATCTATCTATCTATCTATCTATCTATCTATCTAACATTTCTATCTCTTTTGTCTCTCTTTATCTATCTATCTATCTATCTATCTATTGCCGTCTGTTCTATCTATCTCTCTATCTGTCTGTCTCTCTTTATCTATCCATCTATCTATCTATCCACCGTCTGTTTCTCTCTATCTGTCTGTCTCTCTTTATCTATCCAGTTCTATATCTATCTGTTCTATCTATCTCTCTATCTATCTGTCTCTTTATCCATCTATCTATCTATCTATCTATCATCTATCTATTGTCGTTCTGTTCTATCTATCTCTCTATCTGTCTGAATTTATCTATCCATCTATCTATCTATCTATCTATCATCTGTTCTATTTGTCGTCTGTTCTATCTTCTATCTGTCTCTCTTTATCTATCTATTCATCTATCTATCTATCTATTGCCGTCTGTTCTATCTATCTATCTTTATCTATCTATCTATCTATCTATCTATCTATCTATCTATCTATCTATTCTCTCCGTCTGTTCTATCTATCTCTCTATCTGTCTGTCTCTCTTTATCTATCTATCTATCTATCTATCTATCTACCTATCTATCTATCTATTTCGTCTGTTCCATCTATTCTCTATCTATCTATCTATCTATCTATCTATCTATCAATCTATCTATCTATCTATCTGCCGTCTGTTCATCTATCTCTCTATCTTTATCTATCTATCTATCTATCTATCTATCTATCTATATCTATCTATCTATCTATCCATCCATCCTCTATCTCTGTCTGTCTCTTTATCTATCTATCCATCTATCTATCTACCCATCTATCCTATCTATTCCGTCTTCTATCTCTCTCCCCATCTGTCTCTCTCTATCTATCTATCTATCTATTGCCGTCTGTTCTATCTATCTCTATCTGTCTGTCTCTATCTATCTATCTATCCATCTATCCATCCATCTATCTATCCATCCTATCTATCCATCTATCTATCTCTCTATCTGTCTGTCTCTCTTTATCTATCTATCCATTATCTATCTATCTATATATCTATCTATCTATTGCCGTCTGTTCTATCCATCTCTATCTGTCTGTCTCATCTATCTATCTATCTATCTATCTATCTATCTATCTATCTATCTATCTATCTATCTATCTATCTATCTATCTATCTATCTATTGCCGTCTGTTCTATCTATCTGTCTGTCTCTCTTTATCTATCTATCTATCTATCCATCTCCATCTATCTATCTATCTATCTCTATCTGTCTGTCTCTCTTTATCTATCTATCTATCTATCTATCTATCTATCTATCATCCATCTATTGCCGTCTGTTCTATCCATCTCTCTATCTGTCTGTCTCTCTTTTCTATCTATCTATCTATCTATCTATCTGTCTATTATCTATCTATCTATCTGTCCGTCTCTCTCTATCTATCTATCTATCTATCTATCTATCTATCTGTCATGTCTATCTATCTATCTATCTGTCCATTCCATCTTTATCCATCTATTCACCTGTCTGTATCTATTGCCGTCTGTTCTATCTATCTATCTGTCTGTCTCTCTTTATTCATCTATCTATCCATCTATCTATCTATCTATCTATCTATCTATCTGTCTGTCTCTTTATCTATCTATCTATCTATCTATCTGTTCTATCTATCTCTCCATCTGTCTGTCTCTCTCCATCTATCTATTTATCTATCATCTATCCGTCTGTTCTATCTATCTATCTGTCTGTCTGTCTCTCTCCATCTATCCATCCATCCATCCATCTATCTATCTATCTATCTATCTGTCCGTTCCATCCATCTCTCTATCCGTCCGTCTTCCTCCATCTATCTATCTATCTATCTATCTATTCTATCTATCTCTCATCTATCTATCTATCTTTATCTATCCATCTATCTATCTATCTATCTATCTATCTATCTATTGCCGTCTGTTCTATCTATCCATCCGTCTGTCTCTCTATCCATCTATCTATCTATCTATCTATCTATCCATCTATCTATCTATATCTATCTATCTATATCTATCTGTCTGTCCCCTCTTTATCTATCTATCCATCTATCTATCTATGCCGTCCGTCTGTTCTATCTAATCTATCTATTCATCTATATCTATCTATCATCTATTGCCGTCTGTTCTATCTATCCATCTGTCTATCTATCTATCTACCTATCTATCTATCTATCCTATCTGTTCTATCTATCTCTATCGTATCTATCTTTATCTATCTATCTATCTATCTATCTATCTACCTGTCTATCTATCTATCTCTGTCTGTTCTATTAATCTATCTATCTATCTATCTATCTATCTATCTATATCTATCTATCTATCTATTGCCGTCTGTTCTATCTATCTCTCTATCTGTCTGTCTCTCTTTATCTATCTATCTATCTATCTATCTATCTATCTATCTAATCTGTATCTATTATCTATTCATCTATTCTATCCATCTATCTATCTATCTATCTATCTATTTATCTATCTATCTATCTATCTATCTATTCTATCTATTCCATCTATCTATCTATCTATCTATTCCTATCATCATCTATTGTTTTTTTTATCTATCCATCTATTGTCTCTCTTTATCCATCTCCATTCTATCTATCTTCTTATGGAATCTATCTCTCTATCTGTCTATCGTCTTTTATCTCTTCATCTATCTATCTATCTATCTATCTATCTATCTGTTCTATCTATCTCTCTATCTGTCTGTCTCTCTATTTATCTATCTATCATCCATCTAAAAGTCTGTTTTATCTAATCTGTCTGTCTAATCCAATATATATCAATCTGTTCGTATCTATCTGTCTGTTCAGTAAACCGTGAGCTAGAATAGAATCCAAGTAAACCGTTGCTAACAATCCAGAATAGACAACTGAAATAACTGTGACCCATAATAAGGAGACATGATTTGGAGAATTCAATTTTCCCAAGGTATAACGAATGCAAGAAAAAAAGCTGAAAGCGAAGCGTAACTTACTTGGCAAGCCTGGTCTGGGACCAGCTATGACTAGCTTAGACAATCTCTGACCAGCTTGGACAAGCTAAGACCAGCAGTCCGAGTGCAAACACTCGGGTCCCAACGTCAAAAACCAACCTTGTGGTGTCACATCTTGACTCAGTTGGGTACGGAGTCAAGTAAATCGACTTACTTGACAAGCATGAAAAATGGATGGGGAAAAAGTTCTGCTGAGCTCACCAATGGAAAGGACGCTGTAGAGAACCGTAATCGCTCTACTCCAGAGAGATGCTGAAGTGGAATCATCGGTATAACCATAATTTAACAGTTAGAAACCGTTCATCATGCAGATCTTATTTTCAACCTTGTATTCTAGCTATTACTCAGAGCTAGAAAAGATTGGATGTTGTGGAGAGCTATGATCACTCATGTTTTGAAGTAGCTTAGTTTTTATACTGTATTATCTACCAAAATTTTTTAAGGAAAAACATATCTATATGTATTGTCTCTTACTTGCTGTTACCCTCTGCTCCTCTTAACTTCAGTGTACTTTGTGAGTGTCATATTTTTCAAGCCCTCTCTCTTTATTATTGTTATACTGGAACATACCTATTCTATTGTTAATAGACTCTCCCAGATATAATAAGTAGTAGTAGTAGCAGTTGCCAGTTGGGCTCAGTGGAGTTGAGTGAGTCAGTCGATGTCGGACATTGAAGTATCAACCACCACAACTAGATTGTTGCGTCATTAACTATTATTTCAAGTTCCTAACGTTTTGTACGTCGGACCTTTTTAGGACCGACTTAGTGAAATACAAGCCTCCACTGTGAAAACTACTCCACAACAATTATGTCCCTAGAAATGTCAGCTGTTTCTTCTGACTACAATTTCTGATTTCTTTTTTGATCCCATTTTCCTTAAAACTTCCATGTTGTGCACATGCTATGTTTATTGTATTCTCAGCATCCTTCTGTAGAACCATATCTCTGTTACTGCAAGTCTCCCTTTCGTTTTAAGGAATTAGTCACTGCCATATTGGAGCACCAATTCTATGCCCTGTTGGCTGGGGCTCCAGAATAAGCCAATTAGTCCTCTTCAAATGGATAAGACCACTCTCCCAATGAAGTATCCTGGGTATGACGATAAACTACATCCGGCAGCAAGGCCTTTGATCAGAAGGTTTTGAGGAGTGTGGAACCACCTTTTAGTTGCTGGTGGTCCCAGGACCACCCTGACCCAGGGTGGTAGCACCTGTTTTGGTCCCAGCTATGGGCAAACAGTTAACTCCCAAACTGGGGTCAAAACACAATGAAAGTGTAAAAATAGGTTTTAATAACAGCAATACATATTTAGAAAAAATTAATATCAGTAATACATTTTTGAAAAAAATTATTACCACCAATACATTTTTGAAGAAAAAATATTACAAGCAATAATTTTTTTTTTTTTTTTAAATATTACAACAATATATTTTTTTTTTTTTAAATATTACCAGCAATACATTTTGGAACAAAAATATTACCAGCAATACATATTTGAAAAAAAATATTACCAGCAATACATTTTGGAAAAAAAATATTACCAGCAATACATATTTGAAAAAAAATATTACCAGCAATATATTTTGGAAAAAAAATATTACCAGCAATACATATTTGAAAAAAAATTACCAGCAATACATATTTGAAAAAAAATATTACCAGCAATACATATTTGAAAAAAATATTACCAGCAATACATATTTGAAAAAAATATCACCAGCAATACAATTTTAAAAAAATATTACCACCAATATTTTTTGAAAAAAAATATAACCAGCATTATATCTAAAAACAAATATTATTAGAAATACATTTTTGAAAAAGAAAATATTACCAGCAATACATATTTGAAAAAAAAAAATTATTACCAGCAACACATGTAAAAAATATTATTACCAGCAACACATTTTTGAAAAAGAAAAATACCAGGAACACATCTAAAAAAAATGTTACCAGGAATGCATCTAAAAAATATTCCCAGCAATAAATGTTTGAAAAAAATATTACCAGCAATACATCTAAAAAAAAAAAATTACCAGCAATACATTTTTGGAAAAAAATATTACCAGCAATACAACTAAAAAAATATTACCACTAATACATCTAAAACAATATTACCAGCAGTACATTTTTGAAAAAAAACAATGTTACTGAAATACATTTTTTGAAAAAAACAAAACATTACCAGCAATACATTTTTGAAAAAATGTTACCAGCAATACACTTTTGGAAAAAGAAATATTACCATCAATAAAAATCTTGTCAACATTAAATAACCCATTGAGGTTATTGTACTGTAAAACAAAACAAACTATAACAGATCTTCATTCTTTGCTTTGTTACTAACGACATTTAACTGTTTCTTAATACTTTGTTCAACTTTTGGAAGATATCTTTCGCTATTCCTGTGAGCCTTCGGATTTCTGGTGTCATATTTTCCGTCATATGTTAAAACACTTTCCACATATTTAAATTTCTTTACTTCATTTTGACATCGCCAATACATAGCTCACGTCTTGAACTACTTCTCTTGCTGACAAACATTTTTATACTATTTACATTATTCGGAATATTGTCCTCATCTTTGTCGCCATATTTATTGCAAAGTTTCGGCCTTCTTCAGGTGGTTGGAATGTCGAATTGAACCCTTTATTTCGCTCACTGGAGTAGACTGTTCTAGTTCCACGTGCCATGTCTAATTGTCAGTTATCAGTTATCCCCTCTCCAAGTTCTCCACCGCCTTAACCTGATATTGAACTCACACTCTTTGGGTCATCACTGGATCTAACTAATGCCTTTATCCCCTGTGCCATGTGTCGTTGAGGACATCTGTGTATGTATTCCTTAAGGAATCAGCATATATGCTAGGCCACAAAACCCTCCTGAGCCGGTCAAGTATAGAAATGAATACAATATGGGAACCGGTAATAAGGAGTGCCAGAGAAAAGCAATAATAATAATAATATTTATCACAACGAAACGTTGTGATAAATATGGCAACAAAGATGAGGATGTTAGTTCGAATAATGTAAATACTGTACATAATACCTCATCTCAGAAATATAGACAGGTACTGAAGAAGGACGGAGCGTAAAACGGCCGAAACGTTGTAATAAATATGGCAACAAAGATGAGGGCAATAGTCCGAATAATGTAAATAGTGTACATAATACCTCATTTCAGAAATATAGACAGGTACTAAAGAAGACCGGAGCGTACAACAGCCGAAACGCTGTGATAAATATGGCAACAAAGATGGGTACAATAGTTCGAACAATGTAAATATTGTACATAATACCTCATCTCAGAAATAAAAACGGAAACATTTTTATTTTATCTACTTATAATTGTTTGTAAGACCATTCTTTATTTATTTTTATTGAGTGAATCGTTTTTACAACTTATCAACTCTTTTCAAATATTTTTCGTTTGTAAGAATTTTGGAGGGGAAGGTAATAATGATTTGCAGATACGATTTTTACTAATTAACCCACTGGTCGGGGTAAGAGGTAGATTTCCAATGGTATTTGCGAGTAAGTGAATATAACGAACTTGAATTGGCACTCAGCTTGATTAACAATTCCGACCAGCATTTGGTATTCATAAAGAGGTTACCCATCTAGGTCTTCACCAGGGTCGACGTTGTTTGGTGATCTTACGGGAACCAATGTTACAACGCGTTATGGCCGTAAATTTAATTTATTTTCATAACTGGTGCGTAACGGTCCTATCGTTATGTTTGCCTTAAAAATTTGCTCCTAAAACCTCGACTAATATTCAGTGATATGCAGCAAATTCCTCCTGCCTCTCATGTAATTTCTGTATTGTTCTATACAAAGGCCGTTCCGCTTTCCATTCCCGTCTCCAGCCGACAATTACGTCCGTTCTTCTTTATTTTTATCTCTAGCTACCCTTTTCTATCTTTCAATCTATTTCCATTTCTCTCTTATTCCGAAGCCTCCCAACCCAGCATCAATCATCTCACTCCCCCAACCAGTTTTTTTTTTTCAACAAATCAACCACCAGAACACTCTTTCACTCAGCAGCCAACCAAACACTCTATTTTGTCTCCTTATTTTCTTTCCA